GTGTTGTGAGGATTCTACGAGAGGGGTGTCTGTGCGTGTGCTCAGTCAATTGTTGTTCGAGTAGTTCTGCTCCATAAAGCCGCACAAATGCTGACTTAGTGAACACTGACCATCGCCCCTGGGCGAAATGCAGAGCTGGGGCCCTTGAGCCGCCGGTCACAATATTTTTGTCAACTGACCAACGCATAATCTTGTATGTATGTTTCTGTTTAAAGATATCTCTGTTCATATATATTTACTTTTTTACTTTTTTAAGCCTTCACCTGAGGATATCTTTTCCGTTGCTTTTCAGAGAGAGTGGGAGGGAGAGAGACAGAAACATCCATGTGAGAGAGAAACATTTGATTAGTTGCCTCTCGCATGTGCCCCGACCGGGGCAGGAATCGATCCTGCAACAAAAATATGTGCCCTTGACCGGAATTGAACCCGGGACCCTTCAGTCTGCGGGCCGATGCTCTAACCAGACTGGCCAGGGCTATATATCGTGATGATTTATAACATGAACTCACGCCTGCAGCGCTATAACCCCAGCCATCAAACACACGTATTTTCTCGTAAGCTCGTCGCAGATTTCCTACTCTCAGAAACACTAGACCGTTCCGCACTACACGCGGGAGCCATTTAAACAACAAAAATCACCCACAAAATGCACAACGCTGCCAAAAAACGTGGCTAAAGAGAGCGTGCAAAGGTCTACAGTGTGAGAGCATATACAAGAGGGTGTCACCTTGTCCCGCACTTCCCGGGGTGACCGGTCACATTTGTGTAATCACTTGGTTTACTTGTCTTTTCTGATAGAAAACTGCTCGTGGGTCAGAGGCTGTGTTTGTCCTGTGCTGCTGTGACCCGTGCCAGGCCAGGGGCGGGGCGGGGCGGGTAAATAATCACCACTGAGTGAATGAGTGAATGAATGAGTCCCAAGTAAGGAGCGTCTAGGTCAAGGACTCAGGCAGGACGACTGGGGGATACGAGGGGAAAGTGCCGCCCAGGTAACCTGGGCGCCTGCGGCACGCTCCCCAGGCCTGGAGGACAGGACGGATGCCGTCTCAGGCGAGGCACAGGTGATGGCGCCAGGGGCGTGGAGCAGCAGGTGGTCCTGCTCTGCCTGGACTTGCATACGGCGGGGGCCTGCTCCGAGCATTGACCTGGGAGTCAGAGCGGAGACAGGGACCCCTGAGGCCCAGGTCCAGCCCTCCTGGTGCCTCCCCATCCCTCCTGCTGTCACACTTGTTCCTCCCAAGGAGCAATCAGGCTCCTTGGAAGATGCAGGGTTAGCGAAAGAATAAGCTCTTTGAGGGAGCTCATCACGGCGACAGGCTGACCTCCAGTCCCCTCCCACTGGCGGTGGTGGGCAAGGACAGGTGAAGGACATCGCCTCCTCGCAGCCCCTGGGAGTTAAGCCCTTTCTGCAGGGAAAGCCTGTCCAAGTAATTAATGGAAGTAATTAGGGGTCAGATGGTCACGAATGGAAATCACTCAGTGCCCAGTCACAGATGCCAAGGCTGGCCGTGCCAAGGGGAGGAACAGGGGTGGGAGGGGCAGGGCTGAGAGAGGAGAGGAGGCTGCAGCCGCAGCTGAATGGGACAGAGATCGGAGGGGGGCTTGCTCTCCCAGCTCTCAGAGGAAACAAGCTGCGAAGTCTGGGGCTTGCATCCGTAATGAGCGGTCCACACTGGGGCCAAGCTACAGCACAGACGGGCAACTGCTGAGGAGGAAACACCACAAGCGGTCCCCGACGTCGCTGCAGCCCTGGGCTCAGAACTGTGCCCCCTGCAAGGTGAAGAGGCATTTTCCATGAATGTGCTTGGCGTATCTTGCAAAGCCTTCCTTGGCTGTATTCTCACTTTACGTGTGGCTTTCAAGTCCTTGGAAAGGGTAGAAATTTTCCATCCACCCATCCACCCATCCACCCACTCACCTACCCACCCATTCATCCACCCACCTGCCATCATGAACCTACCCACTCACCTACTCACTACCCACCCATCCACCCACCCACCCACCTGCCATCCATGAACCTACCCACTCACCTACTCACTACCCACCCATCCACCCACCCACCCACCTGCCATCCATGAACCTACCCTCTCACCTACTCACTACCCACCCATCCACCCACCCACCCACCTGCCATCCATGAACCTACCCACTCACCTACTCACTACCCACCCATCCACCCACCCACCCACCTGCCATCCATGAACCTACCCTCTCACCTACTCACTACCCACCCATCCACCCACCCACCCACCTGCCATCCATGAACCTACCCACTCACCTACTCACTACCCACCCATCCACCCACCCACCCACCTGCCATCCATGAACCTACCCTCTCACCTACTCACTACCCACCCATCCACCCACCCACCCACCTGCCATCCATGAACCTACCCTCTCACCTACTCATCTCCCACCATCCATCCATCCACCCACCATCCATCCGTCCATCCATCCGTCCATCCATCCGCCTCCCTCATTCATCCACTTCACAATATTTATCAGGCTCCTGCCCAGCCCACCGCAGATCGAGGCCCTGGGTTTACAGGACAAACAAGACAAGCATGGACCTGCTCTCACAGTCTGCAATCTACGGAGGGGGAAATGCACACAAGCCAACACCCCGGAAGCCCACACAGCCAAGCGCTGTGAAGAGAGTGGGACAGGGTGACGGCGCATTAGAGGGTGACAGGTGAGGGTCTCTTTAGCTGGGATGGGCAGGGCAGACCTCTGAGGAGGTGGCCTTTGAGCTAAGACCTGAATGACCAAGGGAAGCAGAGACCCAGGGGAAGAGCGTTCCAGGCGGAGGGCACAGCAGGTCGAGGGCCCTGCGTGGGGAACCGGAGGAGCGCCGAGGGGCTGAAGGGCGTGAGTGTGGGGGACAGGGACGGGGGCAGGGCCGCTCGCGGAACATCACGCAGCCTAAGGGCCAGCCAGGTAGGCACATGCCCAGCTCCGCTACCCCCGAGTCCTCCGAAAGTGAACACTCTGATATCTGCTCGGATGTTTCATGACTCTGCTATTTTAATACTCCAGCAATACTACGCCCATCTGCCCCGTCAGAGCCATCTCGGCGGGGGTGGGTGACCTGCAGCGGGCGGGTGTGGGCCCCAGCTGGGACCCTGCGTCACTCCTCACTCCCCCGCACGTCCTTCCTTAAGGCGGGGAGGCCACAGGTGTGGCCCTCTTCTGATGGGGACAAGTATGTGCTCTGTTCATGCGACAGCTAAGGGTCGTGACGAGTGAGTGCTGCGAAGGGCCCCTGTCTGCCGGGCCTGGTCAGGGCTGGTATTTAGCGACGGTGGCCCACTGGCCCTGACCCCCTGGAGCTCACTGCCCAGAGGGTTTGTTCAATGCCTGCCGCTTAGCCAACACTCAGTAACGCTTTGTGGAAAGCGAAGATGGCAAGGAGCCACGGAGGGAGACGGGTAAGGAGTGTACCGGGAGGAACAATGCAGACGTGACGCCCCGAGACGTTCCCCGAGCGCCTCGTGAGCCCCTCGTCCAGGCGCCAGTCCCCAGCAAGGCCCCTCCTGCGGGCACGCGTCGACCTGCGTCAACCTCCGGGCCCAGGACATTGCGTTTCATGTTGTCTCTGAACCAAAGTCCTGCGTTCCACATCCTGGGAGACGCTGCCTGTCACAGCCTCTCCTCCAAAAACATGTCACACGTGCGCCCTAAGGCCACCGACGGGGGTTTTCAGGGGCCAAGTCCCAGTGCGTCTGTTTGGCTATTTTACCATTTTGTGGATCTGATGCCACCTGCTCTCTGGGCGCCTGGCCTCCAGGAAGGTTTTGGTGCAAGTTCTGGAGCTGGAGAGTCTGAAACGGTGCCAGCACAGGGGACGGCGAGGTGTCACCTGGCCGAGGAGGGGCTCGGGGCAGGCATGAGGAAGGGGAACGGCTCCAGAGGGAGGAGCAGCTCCGAGCAGAGGCCACCGCGACGGTCCTTCCTCTCTGGGTTGCTGCCTTTAAGGTAAGGTTAGGGTTTGAGTTCTGTCCACAAAAGGTTTTCCCAACGAGCTCAGCAAAACGGAACGACAAACTCCCGTCGGCCAGTTCCTGGCTTTCTCCGCGGTGCCATGTTAGCCAAACGTGGCAGAGGGACCCGAACCCCCAGCCCACTGCCTGAGCTGCCGCCTCTTGGGAGGAAGGAGGGGTGGCGAGGTCTCCCCGGGCGGGTCAGAGACGCGGGTGTCGCAAAACCACTGTGGTGGGCGAGAGCTGCGAGTCTCCCATCCCCTAGGCCGGTGTGCGGCCGGCAGCCATGAAGCCCGCTGACTGGGTCATCTCCCCACGCGCACACCTCACGCTGGGAGGCAGCCCCTCCTCCAGGAAGCCTTCCTGAGCTCTGCGCTCTGCAGGCTGTACCCTCGGAGACGGGAGGTCCCACCGGGTGCGCCCGGTGTGTGAGGCATGGAGCGGGGGCCGCTCCCGGGCTCAGGGCACGGACCGTGGTCGGGTTGGGCACTTCCCTCTGTCCTGGGG